GTTGGTGCTGCGGCAGGACGGGCTGCGGGGGCTCCTCTGCCGCGGGCTCGGCACGCGCATAACTGGCGAACATCGTGCAGGCCGCCCTCTTCACGGTGATATGGAAGCAGCTTGAGGCCGGGATGAGGGGACGTGGACTCGCGTAGCGCGCAGAGAGGTGCACGATTTTATTTGTACTATCGAGAGCGCGCGACTTACATGCACGGGCCGAGCGTTTGTGATATCTCGTCATTTGGGCGCTGGTGTCCTAGCGCAAACGAAACCAACAAACCGCGCGAAAAACGGTCACAACGTGTGTGTAAATAAAAGGTATTTTTGGCGTAGCAGATAGCACTGGGACTGGCCACTGTGCACTGCCACTGCGGCACTGCCACTGGCAGTGCGGGCTGCGGCACTGGGCACTGGCAGCTCTACGAGCTAGCAGTAGCACTACGTCAGTAGCATCTGCAGCTACGGACGGCTTTAGCACTTTGGAGTATTATCTATTAATTAAGTAAAATGAGCGGATTGAGCTCCAAGTGCGAGCGAGAGGTCTTGAGCACTTGAGCACTGTGCACTGGATAGGGTCGATTCCGCGTGGTACGCGTACGGGACCCCTCGATCGTCTCGCCCTCCCTCGCTGGTGTGTTCATTGGGGGGGGGTCATACGGTCTAACAAACACACGGTACAGGATCGAGGTGCACGCTGCAGAGGCGGTGTCGTCCCCCCTCTCCTCGGCGGCGATGGCGGTGTGACCGATCGAGCTACAAGAGGAGCTTGTTCAGCACGATCAGGGTGGCTGGTCGAGCAGTTCGCTCACTTCCTCAAAGCTCAATGCACAATGGGTGAGCTTCAGATCTCATTGGCCCTATATACCCTCGAGAGGTCTCAAAGTGAGGATCAAACAGCTCAAAGGAAACGCGACCAAACATCTTTCATTATTCAAACACACAGTGACCAATATATACGCCTCTCAGCGACACAATAAAAAAGCGGACAGTCGCCAGTCAGAGCCGAGCGGAGCACGTGCCCACACCTGCTTGCACTAACCTCGTGTCGCTCTCCCACCCACGGCGACGCGCGCTCAGAGAGCACTAGCGCGCCGGAGGCTCATGTCAACCCCCCCTCACCCCTAATGTACAACAGGCGGCAGGGACTTGCCCTAACCCCCCCCCGGATCCGCCCTATGCCACCTCGATGGCGTCGGGCACCGCCTTGCGGCGGGTGGTGTTCGAGTTGTACGGCGTGTGCGGCACCGCGCGCCCGTCGGCGGGTGAGGAGCGGGGGCCAACGGTGGCGAGGAGGGGCATGAGGAAGAGCAAGGCCCAGAGGTAGGCGAACGTGATGGTCAGGAGGAAGAAGTAGCCAAACTTGGAGAGGAACTGCAGCTGGCACGACGCCAGCGCGAGCGCCGCGACGAAGCTGGTCAG